GGGGCAGTAATATTATAATGAGATCCCTTTGCAACGTCACTAGGGGAGCGAAATCAGACGCGCTCGTTTTTTCAGACGGTTGCAGAAAAAGGCTTCCCAAAACAAAGTTACTGAGTTAATAATCTTTTTCACGTTTCCTTGGTTGGTAGATGCACCGGGGACCTGATTATAGCACTTACAACCTGGAAAAGTCAGATTTTCATGATATGTTATTCAAACAACGAACAGATTATATAGAGAAAGTGAGCAAAGAACACAGCATCAACGGAGCTTTTTGAAACTCAGAATCAGTTTTAAACCATTGCGGCACAAAACGATTCACTGTTTCGAAACGCTCCAATTGGATTGCGTACCGCAAATCATTTCATTCAGATCAGGACTTCTTGTTTATTGAACTGTTGTAAAAAAAAATCAATATCACATTTGTAATCATGGTAATTTTGGAGAAAAACGCCACTCTTCATGTGAAATTGATCAACTATATAAAGTTGTATAAATGTATACATTTTTTGCCCCGCTGTCTTGAATTTGTGATCATTCTAAATGTATTTTAATAGTCCAAATCATGCAGTGAAAGAACACACTAGTCTAGACTTCATGTAATCTTTGCGTGCGCTCTGTAGGTGTGTTTTTAATGGTTTTTCCAAAATACTCGATAATGTCAAATCGCACATCGTTAAAACAACAATTACAATATTATCGCAGACGATATATATCGCACACCCCTACCGTGCGCACGCGCAGCGTGAGTGACTAAACGTGTATGCGTGAGGTACAGTGAAGACCGCGCATTAGTTTAGAACTCTTCTAATTTTTATTTTTTAAACGTGGAGAGTGTGTTGATTTGTGCAATGATAACCTACCAGCAATGTTAAGATGATTTAAATATATTAGAATGAGTACATTACAATTAGACTTGTGCCGGTATTCGGTAATGCGATATATCACGGTAATTAATATGCACGATATTGTTATCGTGGGCTCTTCTAAATACCGTGAATAATTATATATTACAAGTTATTCAGAATTTTGAATGCATTTTAAGAATAC